TATATTAAAATGTCATTTATTTCTGTGATCAAAGCTGTATTTTCAGCATCATTACTCCAGTCTTCAGTGTCACATGATCATTCAGAAATCATTTTAATATGCTGATTTGTTGTTCAAGAAACATTTATTATTATTATTATTATCAATATTTAAAACAGTTGAGTACATTTTTTTCGGGATTCTTTGATGAATAGAAAGACCAAAAGATCAGCATTTATCTGAAATAAAAAGCTTTTGTAACATTAGACACTATACAATTCAAAAGCTTGGAGTCGGTAGAATTTTTTTATTTTTAGGGGGAAATAAATTAATACTTTTATTTAGCAAGGATGGTTTAAATTGATCAAAAGTGATGATAAAGACATTCATAATGTTACAAAAGATTTCCATTTCAGATGCTGTTCTATTCATCATCTGAAAAATTCTACTCCAATTATTCGCTAATATAGTCTATTTTTCCACTTAGAAGCTTATTTTATGCACCGAATTTCTTGATAAATAAATAAAATTAATTGTTAAAAAATGCACTTTAGAATCAATATTTTTGTGAGGATCGGTCCTTTCGATACAACATCAGTATCGAAAGTATCGATACTTAAGGATCGATGCGCCCATCCCTACCCCTAGTAGCAGACTCCTCAGGAGGAGACGGTCCTGGCGCTTGCTTGACACTCTGGGACGTCCTGAAGACTTCTTCACTACAGTTGAACCTCTCTCTTTGAAGTTCTTGATGATCCGGTAAATGGTTCTTTCAGGTGCAATATTCTTTGTAGCAATTTCCTTGCATGTGAAGCCGTTTTGATGCAAAGCGATGATGGCTGCACGTGTTTCTTTGGAGGTAACCATTGCTAACAAGAACACAATGATTGGAAGCGCTTCTTCCCTCCTTTTATAGCAATCAGTCTGCTCTTACAATCTAATTAGTATGATAGTGATTTCACCCGACTAGTACTCATTCACACTTTCACATGTGCTGCTGATATGATTAGTCAGTTAATGTTAGCTGGTCATTTTGTGTCAGGATAAAAAAAAAAACAGAGACTTTAGTTTTTTTGTGAAATGCTCATTTTTTTGGCCAATGAAACTTTTAGCAATTATTTAAAATGCATCTGATCACTCTACACAATAATCTAGAAACAATGTAAATGAGCACCACAACAGCTTAAGCAGCAAACTTTGCAAAACACAATTTATGTCACTGCCAAAACTTTTGGCCATGCCTGTATATTTTTATTTTTTTTAATAACCAAATAATAGTTTTAGTTGACAATAGCAACACTGATTGTAGACACTTCCTCTTGTGCTGTGCAGATGGAGTATGAGCGTCAGGTGGCTAGTATTCGAGCTCAGAACGCCATCGAGGGAGACTTCTCCGTCTCTCAGGCTGAGCTGTCCTCTCGACAGGCCATGCTGGAAAACGCTTCAGACATCAAGGTTAGACGATTGGGAGATGATTGAGACATTTGAAAACACTGAGTACTATGTACTAATTTCTGTTATATGTTTATAGTTGGAAAGATTCAGCATTTCAGCCCATGGTAAAGAGCTGTTTGTTAACGCAGACCTTCTGATTGTTGCTGGGAGACGATACGGTCTGGTTGGACCAAATGGGTGGGTTGATGGTTTAAATTTGACATTACTACATTGCACATAAGGAAATGTAATGATAGTAAAACCTGTTTCCATACTCCTGTTTGAATCAGGAAAGGGAAGACCACTCTACTAAAGCACATTGCCAACAGAGCTCTAAGCATTCCTCCCAATATTGATGTGCTGCTTTGTGAGCAAGGTACAGTACAACCCAGTGATATTTTAGTATAATCAAGATACTATTATAGGTTTTATTAAAGGGGTCATTGGATGCTACATGCACTTTTACAAGTTGTTTGAACTTAAATGTGTATGTACACAACCACCCTAAAATGATAAAAATCCACCCGGTGGTTTTTTGTTAATCTACTAAAATCTTTACCCCTTTCTCAAGTCTTTTTTATACGTTGAGATTTGGATTTATTAATTTTTATTTCATTTTTAGTTATGTAAGTACATCAAGTTAAACTAAACTAGATAAAATAAAATAAGTTTACTTTTTTATATTTATTTAAGTTAATGTTTCTTTTTTTTATTCAATTGACATAATATTTGTATAGTTTTAGTTTTAGTTAGTAGCTGTAATAAACTGTTCCCAATTTTTTTTTTATCCTCACTATTTGAGCAGTCTAATATAATACAGTAAATCCAGCTGTACGGGTCCCTGACTTCTCTCTGTTTGTCGTTCCTCAGAGGTGGTGGCGGATGACACTCCTGCAGTTCAGGCGGTGCTGAAGGCCGACACGCGCAGACTGAAGCTCCTGGAGGAGGAACGGCAGCTACAGAGTCGGCTGGAGAAAGGAGACGACAGCGTGTCTGAGAGACTCGACAAGGTCAGATGAGAGCAGCTCGCTGAGGCCCTCTAAATACGCTGATCCATGGAGTAGTGGAAGATAGTGGAAGTGTGTGTGTCTGTATCATTCGCAGGTTTATGAGGAGTTGAGGGCGATTGGAGCAGCGGCAGCGGAGGCTAAAGCTCGTAGGATCTTGGCTGGTCTGTCTTTCACTCCAGAGATGCAGAACAGACCCACTAAGAAGTTCTCTGGTGGTTGGAGGATGAGAGTGTCCCTGGCTAGGTGGGCACAATGAGGAAGATGCATTAATTTATTAATTAATTTTATGATTGTAAAATAAAATCTGTTCTGACATGAGAAAATGATTGTCTTCCTCCCAGAGCACTGTTCATGGAGCCCACGCTGCTGATGTTGGATGAGCCCACTAACCACTTGGACCTTAACGCTGTCATCTGGCTTAACAAGTAATTACTTTTTCCTTTAAGCGATACTATTTAGGAAACAAACCCATCTAGTTGATGTATTTACATTTCATGCAAATTATAAATAGCCTACTTTCAAATGTTCCCAGTTGATGGTGTGTTTTGATTGTATTAAGGGGAGGTCACACAGTGATTGCATCACTAAAGATTGTCAGGCTCCTGTGTTTTTAATCTTGCTGCTGCATGTTCAGTAGAAAAAAAGTTGCACCTTTGTGCTATATTCTTCCGATGAATCACCATTTCATATTTTCTCCTTTAGCTACTTACAGAGCTGGAAGAAAACACTTCTAATTGTGTCCCACGACCAGAGTTTCTTAGATGACGTCTGTACAGATATCATTCACCTGGACAACCAGAAACTCTACTACTACAGGGGCAACTACCGTGAGTTTCGTTTCTGAACAGCAACACAGATGAAATCTTATGAAAGACCTTTAATCATCTTACTGTATTTTGTGTTTGCTTGATGTCTCCTAGTGACGTTTAAGAAGATGTACGTACAGAAACAGAAAGAACTCCTGAAGCAGTATGAGAAACAAGAGAAAAAGCTCAAAGACCTGAAGGCTGGAGGAAAATCCACCAAACAAGCTGTAAGTCCTTGACTTTTTCTCGATTTCTTCACAGTCCTAGTCTTCTCAAACCCTTCCACTCATTCTCCATCATTCATTTTTAGGAGAAACAGACGAAAGAGGCCCTGACGAGGAAACAGCAGAAGGGAAAGAAGAGCCACCGTGAGGAGGAGAGCCGTGAGGCCACAGAGCTCCTCAAGAGACCGAGAGAATATACCGTCAAATTCACCTTCCCTGACCCTCCCCCGCTCTCACCGCCAATTCTCGGCCTGCACAGTAAGTCTTTTATGACTTTTGCTCATTGTGGCTTCTTATTTTTATCAGACTTGTTGGGTGGTTGATGACCAGTTTGGTTTCTTTTCTTTTTCAATCCCAGGTGTTGACTTTGGTTATGAAGGCCAGAAGCCTCTGTTCAAAAATGTGGACTTTGGTATAGACATGGAGTCCAGGGGTAAGTCACACATGTCTGTAAAATCATGACTAGTAGTTTAATTATGGTGAAAAATATACACAAGGAAATGCTGTTCATTTTCTCTGTTTCAGTATGCATTGTTGGGCCCAATGGAGTTGGAAAAAGTACACTGCTCCTGCTTTTGACTGGAAAATTAAATCCTGTAAGTACCGGTTATCTTTATTAAGTATTCATATTTGCTAACAAAAATGCTTTTATATCAATAAAAATCATTGTGTACTCATTTTTTTCCTCATGTTTGTTGATTTGTTTCCTTCATGGCGTTAATTATGAGGCTTTTTCATTTTAGATAAAAGGAGAGATGAGGAAGAACCATCGATTGGTAGGGCAGATGTTTAAAATCATTCTTTTTATTTTACCTTTACCTGACTTTGGGTAATTGGTTCATTCTTCTGCCTCTGCCTGTAGAAAGTAGGTTTCTTCAACCAGCAGTATGCTGATCAGCTGAACATGGAAGAGTCTCCCACAGAGTACCTCCAGAGGAACTTCAACCTCCAATACCAGGACGCCAGGAAGTGCCTGGGTCGCTTTGGCTTAGAGAGCCACGCACACACCATCCAGATCTCCAAACTGTCTGGTAAGCACTATCAGTGTTAATTTCATTGACGAATAATTTTCTTCATAATTTTCGTCAACGACATTTTTTTCACCGACGATAACGAACTAAAACTCTTTTTAAATGACAAAAACTACGGCGTAAATCTATTGACATTTTCGTCAACGAATAAAAACGAGACGCAAATGTTAGGGAGGGACGATTTGGGAAGAGATTCATTCAGAACGAAACTGCTGTTCGGAGGTTAGATGCGTACATATGAACCGGCGGGAAATAAGCTAATATACACTTGCTGCACGTCGCATAAAACGTTAAAAAATGTCAGTATGTGGGAGTAAGTGAAGAGCAGACATATGGATAAATCTGACGACGCAAGAGAGAACTCAATTCGGTCCGGTTTTCTGAGCGCACACTGACACAGAGAGCATGTCTCACAGCACGCGAGCACTCTTTCACGTCGCGTGAACGGAGAATTACACACAAAATGATGTTGAATTGTCCGTTTTGACGAGTATTCACGTAAACACAGTTGATTACGTCTTAAGTGAACAAAAAAAGTAGGGAGAACGTGTATCAGTACATTGCATCCATTGCAGCTGTGCATTCGGTTTTA